GATTTCAGATGATAACATTTTTATCATCCCCAAAAGAAACTTCACACCTATCAGCAATCGTTCTCCATTCCTCCCTCTCCCAGCACACGCTAATGCACTCACCTACTTGCTGTTTCTACGGATGGGCCTATTCTGGACATTCCCCATAAATGGAATTTGACAATATGTGGCCTTTTGTGTCTAACTTCTTTCACTTAGCATAATGTTTTCAAGGGTCATCAACACTATAGCATGTATCAATATTTTATTTCTTTTTATTGCCAAATAAGATTCCATTGTATGGGTATTCTGTTTATCCATTCATCAGTTAGTGGACAATTGAGTTGTTTCTACCTTTTGGCTATTATGAATAACGCTGCGATGAACATTCGTGACCTTGAAAAAGCATGTATGTGTGTATCTATGTGTGTGTGTGTGTGTGTACAGATATACATATAACTTGGAATACTTTCTTTTCATGCCAGCTCAGCAACATGTTTAAAAATATTTTAGCTGGGCACGGTGGCGCACATCTGTAATCCCAGCACTTTGGGAGGCTGAGATGGGCGAATCACTTGACCCCAGGCATTTGAGACCAGCCTGGGCACGTACACGCGCGCACGCACACACACACACACACACATATACATATATTTGTTCCAATTTCTCCACACCCTTGCCAATACTTGTTACTATCTTTTTAATTGTAGCCATCCTTATACGTGTGAAGCGGCATCTCATTGTGATTTTGGAATGTATTTCTCTAAATGTCTAGATGTCTAATGATGTTTAGCATCTTTTCATGTGCTTATTGGCTGTTTGTATATCTTTGGCGAAATATCTACTCAAATCCCTTGTCAAACTTTCATCTAGATACAGGGTTGTGGGAGACAAAGCAAAGGGCCCATTTAAGGAGAAAGTCTAACAGGAAACCACCCATGTACAGTTGGGATCTTAAAAGGCCATCCCTTCAATGTGAGGATGGACAAGAAATTAACTCAGTGTCCAGAGGGAGCAGCAAGATAACTTCAGTATCTCAATCTTGGCAATGAGTGGAGGGTTAAAAGATCTCCCTTTCAATTTATAACCACACTTATTCTCTCATTTGGGTTGGGTCTGAGTCTATGTAGGCCATAAAGAACACAGTAGATCTGGAAAAGTTCAAGAATTTCTAGAAATATAAGAGAATTGAAATTCAAAATCCAATGATAGATTAAACAGCTAAAAAAAAGAATTATTAAAATTGAAGTTATATAAATAACTAAAATGCAGCCCAGGAACCCAGAGTTGAAAATTATCAGTTTAAAAGACACGGAAGATAGAGTCTAAGGATCTAATACATATTTAGAGTTTTAGAAGTAGATGAAATGGGAAAGACAATATTCCCAATATTTTAAGAGATAATGCTGATAATTTTCCATTATTGTTGAAAGAGTAGTAATTAGATCTAAGAATCTCAATCAAACCCAAGGATAAATAAAAAGAAAACCTTAGCTAGGCATATCATAATGAAGCTGCTGTATACAAAGACAAAAAAATTTTAAGCTAAAGTAGCTAAATTTAGAAAAAGAATGGCAATCTGCAATTCTGACTGCCAGCATCAACAACAACCATGGAGACCAGTAAGATAGAAGAATGATACTTTCAAATGCACTGAGACAAAAATAACTGCCAACTTAGAATTCTGTAACTTGTATAATTATCTTTCAAGAATGAGAAAGAAAAAGGTTTCCAGAGAAAAATAGGAGATGTGAGGTGTAAGAAAGAACAATGAGCAAAGATATAAGGCAACTATGTGGGTTGTGAGTAAAGCTAAATTGTTGACTATGTAAAACAACTAGAATGCTTAATTTGTAGGTGGAAAAGTAGCTAACACTAAATAACAAGAAAATACTATAAATTGTGAAGAATGTTATCTGATTTAGAGTTCTGAGGTCTTTGTATTTGTTTAGGAGCAGGATAAAAATACTGTTTAATTTTAGCCTGTATAATAGACTAAGTATGCATGTTAAGACAGCTAGAGATCTACTAAAAGAATACAGCATAACTTCCAAACAAACAAAAGAAAGGGAATGAGAAACACACACAAACAAAGTTAATCAGTTCAAAAGATGGCAATCCAGGAGGCCATCAACCTAGAAGGGGCAACTCATGGTGCATTCATAAAATAAAATGGTAAAACTTTAAAAGTTAAGGAACAGCAGCTACCTATGTCAATATGGAAAACACTCAATGATGAATGGAAGAAGCAAGTCAGAGAAGGAAATCCCACGTGATTCTGTATTCCATAAGATGCAAAATGAGGCAAGGTAAACAATACTTGGAAAATTTTGAACTTTATAGAATACAGAATGTGGCCGGGCGCGGTGACTTATGCCTATAATCCCAGCACTTTGGGAGGCCGAGGCGTGCGGATCACCCGAGGTCGCAAGTTTGAGACCAGCCTGACCAACATAGAGAAATCCCATCTCCACTACAAATACAAAATTAGCCGGGCGTGGTGGCACATGCCTGTAATCCCAGCTACTCGGGAGGCTGAGGCAGGAGAATCACTTGAATCCAGGAGCAAAGGTTGCGGTGAGCTGAGATCGCGCCATTGCTCTCCAGCCTGGGCAACGAGTGAAACTCTGTCTCAAAAAAATAAAATAAAATAAAAAATAAATTAAAAAAAAGGATACAGAATGCATACACGCTTAAAGAAAAAACAAAACAAAACAGGATAGTGGTTACCTCTGCAGAAGAGGGCAGGGGCTACAAGGCGTCTCTAAAATATTGTAATGTTCTATTTCTTAACCTTAGTGGCTGCATATGGTTACTTGTTTGATCATGATTTAAAGTCTAGGCCAGGCCCAGTGGCTTACATCTATAATCTCAGAGCTTTGGGAGGCCAAGGCAGGAAGATCGCTTGAGGCCCAGAGTCTGAGACCAGCCTGGACAACATAGTGAGACCCTATCCCCACACACACAAATTTTTTTTTAATTAGCCAGGTAGCTTGGTATGGCGGCTCATGCCTATAATCCCAACACTTTGAGAGGCCGAGGCAGGAAGATTACTTGAGTATAGGAGTTTGAGACCAGACTGGGTAACACAGTGAGACCCCGTCTCAAAAAAAAAAAAAAAAAAAAAAAAAAAAAATTAGCTAGGCATGGTAGTGCAAGCCTGTAATCCTAGCTACTCAGGAGGCTGAGACAGGAGGATTGCTTGAGTCCAAGAGTTCAAGTTTAGGGTGAACTATGATCATGCCACTGCACTCCAGCCTGGGCAACAGAGCAAGACCCCATCTCTTAAAAAAAACAAATTGTATATGGGTTTTAGTACTGTATGATATTTTACACAAAAAAGTTTTAGTGAAACAAAGCAGGAATCTTAGTTCTGGGGGCACGCAGAAGACATCTCCCCACTTCTCAGTTATGTAAATCTGCAACCTAACTCTTGTGGACTGACCTTTTTCGTACCTTGGGAGACTGGAAACATAAGCGTCAGCTCCCACCTGAGCTCTTGTTCCACAGGCTAGCCGCTAAACCAGCCTGGTAGTAACCAGTGACCTAGTTAACTGAGCTTTGGTCTTCCACCTTTCACAAAAGCAACCTAATCACATAAAGGGAAGTTTAAAAATCTCACATTAGCTTCCCAGGGAGGTATGAACATTAGTTCATGATATGAAATGTGAATAAAAAGGAAAACTGCTCAATATTCATGTCACAATTAAAAGGAATCTTAGACATAATTTCCAAAGCATAAGCTAGTAGAATATTAAATATACCTGTTATAGATCTCTTCAGACATCTCTCACCCTGAGGAAATTCCCTGAGACCAAAAGAAGGTCAGAGCTTCAAAGAACACAGACATTTCTCCCCCCTGAAACTAAAGTTGCAGGGAGATTAGCTGACAAGCTCTCAATATTGTTTACTCCGAGACTGCTGTGAACAGTGTCAGGCAACATAACTGCCTTTTGTCTCTAAAGGTGACTTATCTGAGAATATCCCTTCAAGCCTGCTCAGTGTTTAGTGCTTCAAACAAAGTGATCTTTGATGCTTTTCAGTTTTTGATTGATGTAGATTACTTGTTGTATCCTTTAAAACCTAAATGTAAAGATTTCTGTCCTACCTGAAGCCCTTTCTGGAAACAAGGCAGGTTAAAATACACAATAAAGATCCCCATTTTCCCCACAGAAAGCGGCACCTGTTATAATTAGATTTTGAATAGATGAAGGAAAGGGCAAGGCAAGATAAGGCATGAGATCAGAGCTTTGCATGTTTTCCAACACAGGTCATTAAACTCAGACCTCTGGAAAATTGACTACCCCATGGTTTTTTAGGACTTCTTTGAAGAAAGTCTATAGGAAGACAAATCAGTGGAATCTTCCCACTCTACCTACAGAGCTGGCATCACTCATGACGGTGTCTAGATCATTCTACTAATCATTTGCATAGTCTAAATGAACTCGTTATATTCAAAGTTCAAATAAGCAGGTCTCTGTGGTTTTTAATATAGCTTTTAAGCTTTCTTTAGTTACAGGTATGATCCTGATTCTAACCCTAGTATATACCAGAGAGGCTAAATTCTATGTTCCCGCTCACTGCTGAGTGTGTGAAAACTCACTAGAGGCTGATATGACCACTCATTCCAAATACAGCCCAGTCCAAGCAGAATTAATCTACAACATCTAGACTGGCTGATAAAAAAAAAAGGGAAGAAATAAGCCTATAGTAACCCAAGAAATAAGCTAATATTTACCTCTGAGACAGAGTTTCGATGTATTTTTGCTCACTTTATCTTCTACTAACGTGACATCGTCATTATCTTTCTCATTATTACAGATGGAAGTCCAGGAAGTATCAGGTCAGTTGTAAAAGTTACATAGCTAGAAATCAAATGTGTGTCTTAACTGAAATAGGGCAAGTCCTTAGGATGTTTTAGAAGCAACACAAATCACAGGTGGCCTTCCACCTCCAACACAGTGACCCAGGTAGAATCCAATGAAGTGGATGTAGTAAATACTCCACGTGGATCCACTCACCTCTGCCACATTCCCCTTGCAGTGTGCCTTACTTCTCACTAGAGGCTGGAAAGCTGGACCACAGCTCGGGTTCCACACAATGAGGTAGCTTCGGCAGGCACACCCAACCTAGACTTAGAAGGAAAAAGACAACACCATGGCCCAAAGGACATGCTTTGGATGCCTCTATGTTCCTGCTGGCAGACATAGCCGTGGAGGTACTTGTTTTTCTGCGTCAGTCCACAGAAAACTGAAATCCCAGCGTCCCATTCCTTGCTTCATAGCGTTGAGAGGCAAGTCAGGGGGCAGCCATTTGGTATCATGACTCGCAATGGGGACAATGGACATCCAGGAGCCAGCAGACATGAGAGTAGATCCTGCTTCCTTGCCCTCCTTCTGATGGCAGGCCAGTTCCGTGGTATGATTCCAGTAGATGCTCCTGGAAGCTCAGCCTAGAGCCTGCTCCTCCAACCCTACCAAAAATTTTGGAAGCCAACTAATGATGCATAATAAATCCCTTGCAGCTTCAACCAGCTACAGTAGACTGACATCTTCAGTTGAACTCTAAGACAATGAATATTCTACTTTCCCATGAAAGGGGCATATTACTAGGCTGGAACCATGAATCTCATGGGTGTGTACAGAGGATGGACAAGCAATCAGATGGCATTTATTTTACGCTGAACTCCACAAGGGTGTGGTTGACTCGTTCATGTGTTATTTAAGAACTGTTTCCTCAAATCATGGCTCAACTAGAAACGGAAATGAGAGAAAGAAGGGATTCCCCACAACCTGGGACTGGTTTATTATCAAGTGAGATAACGAACGTGAAAACCCTTTAAATGGTAGAGTGTTTCTCTAAAAGTACAGGCACCTTCCTAGAAACAGTGCTACTCATAAATCTTAGCAAAAACAAACAAATGGTATTTTCCTGCCAAATTTTAGATTTAACTCTCTCTATGGGGTGAATAAAGGACCAAATACCTACAAGGAATAAATGTCTCTTGAATTTCACCTCAAATTTGAAAACTTGAGTTTTTCCTACTATAATTTAATATCTTTTTAAGCATATTTTTCTTTACATGTCTTAAATCCTGTAATTGATCATTTGTTTCAACAAACATAGAAAAGTGCTATTTACCACTATATTCTAAGGGCTAGACACAGATTCTGGCACACAGTAAATATTCAACACATTTTTATGACAATAAATATGTATTATTAATTTGCACTGTAAAACCCATAGCATTTTGTTTTCTTAGTTTTTATTCTTTTTTTTTTTTTTTTTTTAAGAGACAGACACAGTCTCACTCTGTTGCCCAGGCAATCCTCCTGCTTCAGCCTCCCAAGTATCTGGTACTACAGCCATGCACCACCACACCTGGCTCATTTTTAAATTTTTTGTAGAGACATGGTCTTACTATGTTGCTCAGGGTGGTCTCAAACTCCTGGCCTCAAGCAATCCTCTGGCTTTGGCCTCTTAAAGGGCTGGGGTTATAGGCGTGAGCCACTGTATCCAACCTTCACAGCATTTTAGACTGGGAAAGACCTTGAAGAGCTTAAGAATCAATACTAAGACATAACCTGAGACAAAGAAATAGCTGAAAAGTTTCCCTCTTAGGAACTAGAGTAGTATAAAATGATTTTCCCAAAATTAATCTATGTGTCATATAAAAATCCAATATAATCTGACAAAGGAAAGGAGGCACCAGCAGTGACTGTGAAAAAAGTTATAAAGGTCAACTTGAAGAAGAAACATATAAACATGTGAAAATTGGGGGAAAAAAATTTAAAAAAAAATCACAGCTGGGATAGATTATCCTATCAGATATTAACATGTAATCTAGAACTAACATGGAAACAAAGAATAGAAAGTGTACAGTAGAACCCAAGCAGGTACAAGTAGTAAATGAAAAACAGAAAGCAATCCAGGTAAGGGAATGTACAATGAATTTACCAATATGCAATGTTGGGACAACTGAGAAGACATTTGAAAACAAAATTAGAGCCCAACTTTATATTTCTGCTGAAATGCAGTTCAATATTAAAGTTAAATATTTTAAAGCACAAGAAAAATATAGGTAAAATATTAATGTATAGTTCATTATATTTAGCTTTGTTAGTGAGATAGTACTTTCTTTTTTTTTTTCCAATGACCTCTGAACTTTATATTGGCCTCCTGCTCCCCAAAGGGCAGCCTGCTTCTGCTGGCTTAATGTCTCAGAACTTTGGTGTCATTGGTCAGATACCACTTTGCCATCCACTATCCGGCGGGTGGTGGTCTTTTGGATGGTTTGCACGGAGTTGCTGCTGTAAAGGGCATCACCAAGATTGAAGTCCACACCATCTTCCAGCAGGCAGTGGTAGGTGGTAATCTCAGCCTCCAGCAGACCTTCATGTTCAGCACAGCCTCATACTCCTAGGCCTGGTGCTGTCCCTCTGCCCGGGTCGGTGCCAGCTCTGACTCCAGGTGCAGCAGGATACCGCTCAGCTGCTCCATCTGCAGCGTGTAGTGGGCCTCCACCTCCCTCAGGCTGTTCTCCAAGCTGGCCTTCAGATTTCTCATGGAGTCCAGGTCGACCTCCAAGGACTAGAGTGTACCTCTCAGCTCCGTGAGCGGCATCTTAGCAGCTCCAACCTCAGCGGACTGTGTGGTGACCACTATGGTGCTCTCCTCAGTCTGCTGAGACCAGTACTTGTCCAGCTCCTCTCAGTTCTTCCGAGCCAGCTCGTCATATTGGGCCCGGGTGTGTTCCATGATCTTGGCAAGGTCCTGAGATTTGGGGGCGTCTACCTCCACAATCAACCCAGAGCTGACAATCTGCAAGTTGCAAGCCTTTTACTTCCTCTTTGTGGTTCTTCTTCATAAAGAGCAGCTCCTCCTTGAGAGGACTCGATCTGTGTCTCCAGCTGTAGCCAAGTGACATTGGTGTCATCAATGACCTTGCAGAGCCCATGAATGTCATTCTCCACAGACTGGCGCATGGCCAGCTCTGTCTCATACTTGACTCTAAAGTCAGCAACAAGACGGGCACTGTCAATCTGCAGAACAATGTGGGCATTGTCCACAGTATTTGAGAAGATCTGAGCCCTCAGGTCCTCGATGGTCTTGAAGCAATGGCTCCAGTCTCTGACCTGGGATGCCTTCTTCTCCAGATGCTCCCGGATTTTGCTCTCCAGCCTCCGGTTCATGGTCTCTAGGCTCCTCACTCTGTCCAGGTAGGAGGTCAGCTGGTCGTTCAGGCTTTGCACGGTCTCCTTCTCGTTCTGGATGCCTCCCATTCCTGCCAGACCCCTGGCTGTCCCCGCGGCCAGGTCTCCGGACCCTATGCCACCCTGGAAGCCAGTGGAGTGGGACACGGCGATTTGGGAACCAGAGCCCCCCGGCACCTGCAGAGATGCTGGCTGCGCCGCTGACTGGCCGGACGCCATAGCTGGGCACCTGGACAGAGCCCAGGGACCGGCAGTTGGTGGAGAAGGTGGAACGAGTGGTGAAGCTCATGCTGTCCAGAGGCGGGGGTGTGGGGAAGTGAGGGGACAGAACTCAGGCTTTGCTGACATGTTAGTGAGACAGTACTTTCTAAGGATGATGCCCAACATGGGGAAGACAATAAGACTGAGAGATTTGAAGATAAACTTTAGATTTTGTAAATAAAATCACTATGGCACTTTGGGAGGCCAAAGCGGGAGGACTGCTTGAGCCCAGGAGTTTGAGAACTGGGCAACAAAAAAAAAAATCAGCCAGGCATGGTGGCATGTAACTGTAGTCCCAGCTACTCAGGAGGCTAAAGTGAGGGGCTCACTTGAGCCTGGGAGGTCGAGGCTGCAGTGAGCTGTGATCGTGCCACTGCACTTCAGCCTGGTGACAGAGCAAGACTATCTCAAAAAAAAAAAAAAAAAAAAAAAAAAGGCACTGTAAATAAAACTAAGAGATAAGCTAGAAAAAATATTCACAACAAAGAGGGTCAATATTCCTAATAGATGCTAAAAATATCTATAAGTGAGTAACAAAACTACTGAACTTCTTTGTAGCTAAACCTGTATGTTGACCTCTTTATCCTTCCCAAATTCCACTGAAACGTCTCCCACCCCCAAATTTAAAAAATACGTAGTAGTGCTGAAAAGCTACAAAAAGCAGCAACAGCAGTCTGGAGCAGAGAGAACTTCCTGGAAGGCACTTCAGAACAAACCAATGATAACCAAGGGAGTTTCTTGTCTGCAGCTCTGGAGCGAAAAATAGAGGACCCACTAAAAAAAAGCAAGCCTCCAAACACCCTCAGATAAGCCAAGGATTCGAAGCAATATCCAAAATCGGAGAAGGAATGAGTCAAGGGTAATCTGCTAAGGAGTACATTTAAAGACTTAGAAACTACTGAGTGAATTATCTTCCCCCTCCCTGCAGCAGCTACTTCTGGAAATAGCCCCCAGTAAAGATTTGAGATTTCCAGATGCTTCAACAAGCTATTTGCACACATCATAAGAAAGCCTATGCAGCTCCACTACCCCTAGTTTCCCCCTCCCAGGCCTGTCAATATTTCCTTTCCTTTGAAAAACCACCAGATGCAGATCACATGATGAAAACCCATCTTCACTGTCGGGGTACCGGGATTCTCACTTAAGCTGAGCAAACAGGCTCCAGTCATTTCATCTATGATTACAAACATGGACAACCATTAATCGCCAAATGACTGAAGAAAACAGCACAGGAGAAGCAACAGATTCAGCAAGCAGAAGTGGTCTCTCAGTAACAAAGAAAATACACTCAAGATCCTTACAGTGATTCAATAAAAAAGAGATCAGACTAAAAGCAAACATTTTAGAATGACTAATTGTTGGGAATTAAAACTATCAAAGCCATAATAAAGCAATAGATGGGTTGAAAGGCAGAGCATACTTAACTGGAAATCTGAATTTGCGCTTATAGTGCAATTTTTCTAGAAAATTACACTCTTTGCAAAGTACAAAGAGAAACATGAAAGAAAAATTAGGAGATACTGAAGATAGTTTAATCTGTCCTGGAACTCCTGGATTGAATTAAGATTCCTTTAAAGGAGAAAACAAAGAACCAATACAGAAAATAAGAGAAATTTCCCTATGCTGAAGCTAGATTTGTATAGTACTCATAAAGA